TTTATTTAAAAATATCAATTTTTTAAAAAAATAGATCAGAAGTATTTTTATAATAGAATTCAGTGCAAATTTGGCCTAAATTCCAAACGGTTTAAGGGATAGTTAGATATCCTGGAAATATTCCATATTTCATTGATATTAGAATGATTTAATTGTTATAAAAGAAATCATGCACATATAAATACATTGTCAAGCTTATTTTCAAAATTTTCACTTTCTGATGGCTCACTTTGAAATGTATTTTCAACTTCGTCAACACTAGAATAAGAAGCAACATAAAACATACTTTCTTTCATTTGATTAATTAAGAATTGCATAACATTGGGTTGCAAATAACACTTGATAAGAGTCTCGATCATTGGAAAAACTGTTACATTGTTTGTTGATGAGGGAATGTTTTTGAGTTGATCATCATATTGCTTAAATTTTATTTTATTTGCAGCATTATCTATTAAAACTTTTCCAAGTTTACAAAGAGATGTGTTACTACTCTCAATAATTCGTTTAATCCAAGCATTTTGACTTTCTACAAATGATGTTGTTTCTATTCCTAAAGTGAACGATGTTGCAATAAATCCACGTATCCAACTTTTTCGCCATCCATATAGTTGTTTTTCAAGATAGTGTTTGGTATCTGGATATTTAGTAATTAATTTTTCCCAATAATATTCAAAGATTTCAGGTGTATTACCATTTCGACACTTCCAAAAAGTAGAATAAAATTCATCAAACAATGTACCTAATTTTTTACGAAGTATTTTTTTTATGTTTTCTTTTAAATGCCAAATACAAATAAGATGTTGAGTTGTTGGGTATTCTGTTGCAATCACGCTCTCCATAGCTGGGTCATAATCAGTAATAATTATACTTGGCATCCAACCTTGTATCACTTTTTTAGTCATATACAAGATCTATTGATATGACTTAATAGATTCATTGCATAAAAAAGCTTGTGCAACTATCTAAGAATTCATATTACAATCACGAACTACAAATAATGATAATAACATATGATAACGATTTGTTCTTGAAGTATTATCATGCCCAATTATTTCTCCACACTCACACCATAATAATATCTGTTCAGAGCTCATCCAAAAAAGATCTGTAAGTGTATTAGTTTCTTTTTCCCAAATAACTTCTACAAACCATCTTGAATCCTCATGTTGTTTAATAAGCAATTCATTATAAAAACGTGTTATATCACCTTCCTTGTAATATAATGAAAGTTTGTGCATCTGAATTTCCACATAAAGGTCTTTTGGAAAAATGGGATGAAGTGGATATTTTTGAACAAGAATTTTTCAGATAATTGTTGCTCCAAAATGACATTGGTTTATATAAAACTCAACATCCTTTTTCATATCCTTTGTAAAAGTTTTTTGTTTTTCAAATTGTAATGCATCCAGATACATATTATGATTATGTTCGTCTTCTAATTTGGTTATATAAACATGAAAGGCAGGATTCAATTTTATAGGACATGAAAGATTAACATGCCAGTTACAACCTTGTTTAATTGTTGTTCTGGGCTTTTCTTGGTTAGCAGGTTTGTATTGACCTGAATGACAACAATATATAGTTCTTTTTCGTTGTGTTTTTCCACTTTCAGCCATATCAGTCATAGTGCTTTGTCCCATTTTTATTTTAAACCCTTTTAATTCAGCATAGTTTCATATGTGCCATTCAGCATATTCAAAATCATCATATGAATCACCTTTCTTTATTGTAATCAAATTAGCATTTGTATTATCAAATGAACTGCTTTCTTCTATGTAATCAAATTAGCATTTGTATTATTGAATGAACTGCCTTCTTCTATTGTAATCAAATTAATATTTGTATTATCGAATGAACTGCCTCCTTCTATTGTAATCAAATTAATGTTTGTATTATCGCCTTCTTCTATTGTAACCAAATTAGCATTTGTACTTAAAGTTTCGTTATTTATACTATCCATTTTGTTGAATAATTGTATCACATTTATTTGTAGACACTTACTAAAAAAAAGTCGTTCGTTCATCAATCAATATTTATATTAGCTTATGACTTTATTATGAAGTCATTTTAAAGTCATTTTTTATTAGTTTATTGTAGTTTATTATGTGATGACTCATCGATTTGCTGAATCATTATATGATTCTTATATTATTTAACTCTTATATATTAAATTTTATCAACTTAAACTATTTATTGTATATCGATCTATGTTAACTTTAAATCAGTCACATGAAACTGATACACTATAGTGCACTATATATTAAATTATAATTCCTTTATATAATATAGTATGATAATACAGTGATAATTTTTTTGATCAGAGAATGCCGCGAGCGACATTTTCTGAATAATCAAAAAAATTATCACTGTATCTAGGAATGAGCAAAATTAATACGTATTCTTACCTAATATTACTTAATATTATTTGATTTTTTGCAAATAGGTTATAATAAATAATTTTACGATAATTCTATGTTTAGTATCAAATTTATTCTTTATCTCAGTTTTGATTGCTCACTTCCGACCATTATCAAATGATTAAATTTACACGTAATATGTAATAGATTGTAATAAATACTTAATACTACTTAATATTAATTAAGGGATAAGTAATAAGTCATTATTACTTACAAAATTACT